GCTAAGCACAAGGCTGCTAGTTCAAACCTACCAGCCACTTCTCAGAATATATTGATTTATAACCTTGGAAGACCTAGACAGCTTCTCCATAAATCAGAACTGCTGGCTTGCACTGGATTTTGGAAGGTTTGGAACTTGGTATGGCAACCCCATCATGGGGCCCGCTGCCTCTTAGAACTCCATATGGTCAGAATCTGCAGGATTTCTTCTCATGAAAACTGAAGCTTCGCAGACCCTGCCTGTTGCTTTTGCTAATACTGGGATGATCAAGTGCTCTACGCAACCTGGGGCTGTGTTTTGCTGGCTTCTCTTTTTTTGAACCCCCCTCCTGTGTTAAAGAGTCAGAGAGAGAGACTGAAGAAGCGAGTGTGATCTGTTCTCTGTGGGTCTGAGAGAGGGAAGGGGGAGGGAAGGAGGAAGAAGCTTGAAGGCTTCTTCTGCTTTGCTAGTGGCAGCCCCGGGTGGTGCAAAAGGCTTGCACTGCCCGCTAACCTAAAGCTTGGCAGTTTGAACCCACCAGCAGGGCTGTGTTAGAAAGCCTTGACAGTCTGCTTCTGAAAAGATCACCCCCTCCACCCGCCCCCGAGACAATAATCCTACGGAGCAATTCTGCTCTGTCGCACCCGGTTGCCTTGAGAGAGAGGATCAGAGGGCAATGGGCGGGGTCTCACGTTGGTTGATGATTGGAGGAGTTGAGCTGTTTCTCCATGCGCTCAAGGTTGGTCGTGATTTAAAATCTTCCACATTTCAATCCTGAAACAGAATGTGTCTATGTAAACTTTGAAAAAACCTTGGTCAAGGAGATGATCCATTTTCAAGATTCAAAACTCAATTCAAATTGCCCAGCCATATAGTAGTAATTTGCCCGGAGTCTTTAAAAGTTTGGAATGGATTTTGAGGGTGCAAGAATCTGGGACAGTGTGTCAGACAGGGTTCACCAGAGAAACAAAACCAGGAGACCTTTGCTTTATGATCGATGGTATCTATCTTTCTGTCTATCTGTCTATATGTATAGATAGCTAGATACAACACAAGAGATTAAAGCTAAATAGTCCACACAGCAGTACAGAGGGCTCAGTTCAACTCACTTCCATGGGATGGGTAATATACTGGCAGTCCTTCAACTCACGAGGGCTGCTGGGTGCAAGTCAAGGAAGCAGACAGCTGAGTCTTCTGTAGAGCAATACAGCAGTCTGGCCACAGGCAGCAAGTAGCAGGGCAGGTCACCAACAGCCAGCCAGATGACAGGGTCTGACAGGCCCCAGCTCAAGGGATGTATACATCGGCAGTGTGGCCAAGCAGGTCTCAAAGGAACCTCAAATGGTCTACGGATTAGATGTCTCACAGGTAGTGTGGCTCACAAGTTGAGGCTAAGGCAGCTGCACACTAGTCTGATCATCAGACAGCAAGAGACAGAAAGGCGAGGCTTGCTGAGCCATTTATCTCTTTGCCCTTCAATTATTAAACTGCGACCTTATTAATCCCACATGTGTTTATTGGCCAGGTTGGCACAATAAACCTACCTATCACAGACAGCAAGGTAGAGGAAGCCTACCAAACTCACTGCCCCTTTAGGACAGGCCGGTAGTCTTTTCGGGACCAGACTGTCACATCCGTCTCTCTCCCAGAGCTGCTAGTGGCTTTGCATTTCTGCCTTTGGGTTAGGAGCTGGATGCTTACCCACTGTGCCACCAGGACTTCTTAAGTTAGATGAACGGGTTTTAAAAGTTCTTTGTATTTTTTGATTATTAACAGATGTGTTCATACTTTTCCTCCACACTCCAAAGAACTTCTATGTCTCTGGGCACCCCACCCCAATCTGCCTTCAGCTACAGCGTGTCTTCCCAGGAAGCCTTCCATGAAGGGCTTGTTGAAGGCTGGGACAACTTTGGAAGTAGAGACAGGCAACCAGTCAAAAATCCATATGCCTAGCATGGACATCTGAAGATAGGGCCAGAGAGGTTATAGGCTATCGAGTAAGACACATGAAATGAGTGTGCCACGTGGTCGAAGGGAATAAGGAAGATAAGGAAGGTCTTAGAATGAACAGTATAATATTAATTGAGGAGACAGAAAGGCCTTGCCATACCAGCTCACTCTGTTTTCCATCAGAGAATGACTTTCAGAGCCATCGAGTGTGTATTAGGGCCGGAGCTGTGGATCTGATTTGAACACCATTCAAATCCTCCAGAAGATTAGTTCTTGAAGGCCACAGTCATACATTGCAGTCATCCCCGTTTCCAGCGGAATTTCTACTCATGGTCTCAGGGCTGCTAAATGCATTTTATTTGTGAGAAATTATCAGGAAAAAATGGAGAGGGATGAATGTTGTAATTAAGAGGAAATGTTAGTTTCTAGATGCTAAAGACTTTTTAATTTGAGCTTAATGTCAGTTCTTGGCAAAACTGTAAAAGAAGTAACCAAACAAAGATCACAGATGTACGTAGGAAAGAATGTGGTAGTCACCCAGCGCCAACATAGATACTACTAATGAGCTTTCCACTAGTGCTTGCTTTCGCTTAGCTTTTGGAGTTGGAGTACTAGGTTATTTGCTAAGTCTACTCATAGAATGAGCGAAAGGCGAGGCTTTCTACTCCATTAATGATTGACAGCCTCAGAAACCCACAGGGGTAATTCAGCTCTGTCCTATAGGGTCACTATGAGTCAGAATCGACTTGATAGCAATAAGTTTATTTTTATATCCTCACATCTGAGGAGGCAATCACAGTATAGCTCATTTAGTCCAAATAAGACTCCCAAATGAATATCTTGGTAAGTCTTGATTTCAAAAAAGTAGTTGAGAGAATCTCTGACAAACACATTTATAAGAAGAGGGACAAAAAACCCAACACGAATGTCAAATATGTAGATCCCCATATTTTGAAAGCCCAAAGTTTGTTGACTCCTAAGTAGCACTGTATCCTCATCGGATGGGGGTGGGGGCCGGGAAGATAAGGTATGCACTGTTAGGAACCTTGATCTTCACCTGGGAAAGCCCGAAACCCAGAAACCCCAATAGAAGAAGGATGCCTCTTTCTTTGAACGATACCTCTGTCAGATTTGTAGTTACGTTATGTTCTTAACTAACATTGTCAACAAGGGGAAATGTATTGTTTATAAATGTCAAGTCCTGCATTCATGACAGAAGCTAATTCAGCTCGCAGGGAGGGGGAAATGTAATTGTGAGGCGCTCTCAATGGGAATACTGGAGCTGTAGCCAACCATATGACTGTGAACGATGTAACTACAAAGAGAAAAAGAAACAGAAATCTAACCTACAATGAGAAACATAAAACTCGATATCGTTTTAGATGGTACTGTTGTTAATGTCATTGAATTACTTCAGACTCATAGCCACCCTATGTAGCAAAGTGAATGGTGTCCAGTCCTGTCCCATCCTTATAATAGTAGCTGCATTCCAGCTCATTGCAACCACTGTGTCAATCCATCTTTTTTATCAGCGACCCTCTAATTTACCAAGCATGATGTTTTTCTTCAGGGCTTGGTCCTTCCTGATAATGGGAGATGGTATCTTCCCCTCCTCACTGCCACGGAGCATTCCGGTTATACTTTTAATACACATTTCTTTATCCTTCTGGAAGTCTATGATCATTCAGTATTGTTTGTCAATACCACAATTCAAAGGCATCATTTCATCAGCAGTCCAGCTGTCACATGCATGCGAGGCAATTGAAAACACCATTGCTTGGATTGGGCATAGCTTATGCCTCACAGTGACAGCTTTGTTTGCAAAGATTTTAAAGAGGTCTTTTTTCAGTGTGTTTGCCCAATACGCTGTATGTTACTATATGAGCATCGTATCATAAGCAAGATGCCAGTTGGATTCCAGCTTTGTATTTCACTCCATTATCTGAGATTAATACTTGGACCCGAGTGGTGTATTTTAAGAACATTAACAAGTTGATGCAGTTTCCAGAACATGCTCAGCATAATGAGTGTATACCTGAAAGTCTTCCTATGAGAAAGCTTGGAAACAATTGGTTTTGCTTAGCCAATGGGAGAGGAAGAGAAGACGTGAGGCTGTCTTAAAACCGAACTCCTTTTTGAACATGATAGTGAGCTTGTCTCCATTCATAGGGATGAACTAGGATCAAAGAATTGAAGAAAGCGTAAGGGAAAACGTTACTCCAGCACAAGACAAGGGAAAATAGTGAGCCAGACTGATCAGTGATGGAATTGGAAGCCAGGGAAGGAAATTACCATCACTTTAGCATTTACAGTCAAGTTGGACCTACCTCATTGGTGTTCTATTGACACAGTGGCTGCAACAATGGGCTTAAACATCAGAACAATTACGAGAATGGCTTGGGACTTGGCAGTGTTTGTTCTCTTGTCCCCGGGGTCACTGTCACTCTGGACCGACTTGACCCCCAATAACAGCACTGTTGCAGTATTGCTTTCTCTGCAGTCCTTTTTGCCCTACAAAACCTTTTCTTTCTTACCTGCTTTTGAGCCCCCAGCATCGTCCTCACTTGTTGACTATTAAATGTTGGATGAAAGAGTGGAACTGGACAATGGACTGTGCTTGGTTCTTACATAACATAGCACTCAGCCGCAGAACTCAGAAAATCTATTCCATCCTCTCCACAGTGGCATTCATTCATTACTGCCTGGAGCCACTAACTCTAGTAGAAAGCTTGCCTTAGATTTTATGAGGACAAAATATTTTTGAGCTGACTGTACCCCATAAGGCTCTTTCATTTTGCCATTTTGAGTTTTTGATCGTAAATATTGCTTGCATGAGAGCAAATAGCTTGGCTCACTGGAGAGTGCTGTGAAATTTATAGAATGATTACTAAGCGATTCAGTTGTTGGGGAGAAAATAATTATTTTTCAGGTTAGAAGCTCTTAGTCAATGACACAAATGAAAGTGATGCTATCAAAGTGTGAAAAGTGTGTTTTTCAAGGAGCAATGGATCTTGGGATGCAGTGGGTTGGCTGTCACTTAGTAATATCCTGCTCTGTTGTGTTCGATCTAGGCTGATTCAGAAGTCGTTGAGAAATGGATGGACGGCGTGAAAGACTTCCTCACAAAAGAACAGACTGCCCAAGGAGACGCTGAAGGACTGCAGAGGCAGCTTGACCAATGCTCTGTGAGTCTGCTGACCTGGCAAACTGGTTGTACTTAATCACATTTCCTGCTTGTTCTTTTGTTATTTGCAGCTGCGATTAAAATGGGAAGAGTGTGCCATGACCATTAAGCCTAGATAAAAGCCGAGAAAAGATTTCTGATGTCATGGTTCATCAAAGAAAACTGATGATTTCTGGTTTTCTCTGTGGTCATGCTGATGGGATTTTGAAAGAGCGAACCAGAATAAACCTAGCACAGTAGGAGACCCTGTTTTAGGAGACAAGGAAAATGTCAGTGTAACGACGGTTACTTGTACCTCGCTCTTATTGTGTCGCGTGGTGGTAGACACTTGACATACATGGAATTTGCTGGTAATATTATATGCAACTTACATTAGGTGGGTTCATTAGGCTCCTCTAACTTAATTAAAAGCACTCGTCCCTGCTGAGAGTCAAGTATTTCTGATCTAATTTGGCAGATGGTTATCTGCAGCACCAAGGGGAAATGAATTTACCAAAGTGTAATATTCCTTAAATAGTTAAAGTCCCTGACTCCAATCAGTCTGTTCTTAGAATTAACAGACTGTGTACGTAAGGTATCCACTTGCGTGAGAGATGAACTCAACGTGGCCTTATTTTATATGCCCAGGCATTTGTTAATGAACTAGAAACAGTTGAATCATCTCTGAAAGACATGAAAGAAGTGGAGGCTAGTCTTCGAAGCTGTCCAATTACCGGCATTAAAACCTGGGTGCAGACAAGAGTCAGCGACTACCAAACCCAATTGGAGAAACTCAGCAAAGAGGTGAGTTTTTCAATGTATCGTCTGGCTTTCCAAGAAATGTATACAGTGGTTTGTCTTGACCAACTGCATTGATTTCGTAAGCCATCTAGTTTGAAAACCAGTGGGTTTGAGAGCTAGTGCTTGGGCTGCCAGGTGGGGTCCAGGAGAGGCTACTTAGCATGGCCAGAATGACCGTGGGTGTGAGGCTGGTGAGACTTCTGGACATGTTTTTAGGAGGGAAGTCCTTAGAGATCATCACACTTCTCTTACACATTTTACATTCTAGTGAAGCAAATAGTTAGCGTATAAAATCATAGTACAATACCAGGTAGGTGTACTGAGGAGTTAGGGCAAGGGCTTTTTTTTCTTCAAATAGGGTGGTCTTCTGAGACTGGGTATTTGAACAGAGAACTGAATAAAGTAAGGGATGAGCCATGTGCGGCGGAGGGAAAGCACATTCAGGCAGGGGGGAATCCTATTGCTTTAGAGATCCTATAGGACACAGCAGAATTGCTCCATCTGGTTTCAGAGACTGTAAATCTTTCTGAGAGCCTCACCACCTCATCGTTCTCTTGTGCAGTGGCTGGTGGATTTGAACACTTAATCATGTGTTTAGTAGCCCAACACTTAATCCAATGGCCCACCAGGACTTTTTAGGCAGGGGGAATAACAAGTTTAAGAGACTTGCAATGGGAATGACCTTGACCTGTTCAATAAAGAGTGAGGAGGGCAGTTCAATCGAAGTGAAAATGGAGCTAGAGGGTTGGGAAATGATGGAAAGATATTATAGTAAGATACACCACAAGGACATAGGCAGGAGTGGAGAATATATGGAGCTGGAGTTGAATTTGGTTTTTTTCCAAACAATGTCACATAGAATGTGATCTTGTGATGAGAGAAAATACATTTTAACACCCTCTTCCCCCAAAAGAACAAGGTCTCAGAATAGTTTTACTAATGATTTGGGGCTTTTGGAAAAGTCACGATTGTGTTCTTTATTTATTATTTGTGTTTGGAGCCAAGAAAACTATATCTCTGACTAATGATCGGAACTGATATTAAAAGAGACTTTCCTGGACATGGACTCAGTCATATGTTTATGTTAAAAAAGATAGAAAGGGAATAAAAAGAAATCTCTCCAAGTTAAAAATAATAAAACATGACAAGTTCTCAGCTGGGTGGGGAACCAGGGCTGGGCGGCTCTGCTGGCAGCAGGCTCTTGAGTTCCATGTGGGGGCCGAGAGATCAAAGCTCCTGTTTGGTAGCTGTTTATTTTCATGACTGGGATCCTGTTTGGAAGGAGGGATCAGGAAAGCTGTTAAGCACTCTTCCTTACTCTGGGGAGGCCATCCTATTCCTGTACTAGTGTTTGGTTTCTGTCAGCTTCTCAGCCAAGCAAGCCCTGGCAAGGTTCTGTTTCAGCAAGAGGCTGAATATGGATGCCGACTACCATGGTATGGAATCTGCTTCCACAAGACAAGTCTGTTTGTGGTTAGGGGGCCCCAGTGGCGACTTCTCTGAAAATGTCTTTAGACTTCTGTGAGATATTTTGGTAATTCCCTGAACCAGACTTGGGAAAACATCTGTTTTCTAATGAACATATCTTTATGTGTGGAATGTATAATTAACTACCAAAAGCAAACAGTTACAGTGTGTAATGAACGTCTTTAATAGCAGAACTCTCCCTTCCCCTATTTGAAAAAGTGAGATTTTAGTAAGTAGTCCAAAATGAGAAAATTGACATTTTTTATGCGTCCAACTTTTTTTTTCCTCTCCCATAATCAGCAATGCTATGATAGATGTTTTTGGCCGGTGTACTTTTTTGAAGTAGATTAGAGTCCTACATATGGGATCACTCTGTCAAAGATGATTGCTTTTCAAAATTATAATAGATACTTGCAGACCAATATCCAAAAGGTGGTAATAGAACCCCAGCTACAATTATTTTCTTCATTATTATTTATATCCCACAACATCAGCATACAGTATGTGAAATAGATTAAACATTTAAAACATGAACAAGTATAATTTACTAGTCTCTTTAAGTCTTTAAAAATGTGAACTTCACATTTAATGATAACAAAATTTCTTCATTTGGGATTTTCTTCCTCCTCTAGATTGCTATTCAAAAAAACAGATGGTCAGAAAGCCAGGAAAAAGCAGTGAATTTGAAGAAAGACTTGGCAGAGATGCAGGAGTGGATGGCCCAAGCCGAAGAAGAGTACCTGGAGAGGGACTTTGAGTACAAGTCACCAGAAGAACTCGAGAGCGCTGTGGACGAAATGAAGGTGAGCTGGGGGCAGCCCTTCCGTTTAAAATCATGTTATCTGTCCACCTACCCATAGACTTGCCCACCCGTCGTCTACCCAACATACAGTATTCCCAGCAGGATTTCAGATTTACAACAACTGGAAGGGTAGTTGTGCAGGATTTGAACGGCACAGGAAACCCCTGAATTCATTCCAACAGAGCCCCTGAGACAACCTCTCAGAACCTTGGGGACCCAGAGACAGTGACTGCAAAAGCACTGGTCGTGGGTGTGAGGAAGGGTTTTATTTGACTTTTGGGTAACAACCAAGGGAGACTTCACAAGCTGGTTGGGATGTTCCCCTTTGTTTGAGTAGGGTGTTTTCAAGGAGCACATGGGACACATAGGATCTACTTAAGGAACAGTCGAGGAGACATAGCCATGGCTGCAGAGCTGGTACAGGACCAGAGAGCATTCTGTTCAGTTATACATCAGGTCCCGCGTGTTGGCGCAGACTTGATGGCAGCAGGTCGGAAAACAGCCAAGGGATTTATTATCAATTGTATCCAAAGGCTATATTTCTTGTCAGTTTATATGTACCATGTCAGTGACTTTGGTGTCTCTCTCTCTCTCTCTCTGTGTGTGTGTGTGTGTGTGTGTTTGGAGCTAGGCTTCATCCTGAAATTTCAGGTACTCCTTTAAATGTCCCTGAGTGTTCAAGTTGAAGTAGAAACTGCCTTAAAGGATATGTATTTTTTCCTATTTATATGGTTAAGGACCACAGAGAATGCCTTAACCCCAAAGTTAACTTGCCCCAAAGTATATCAGAATCACAAATCTCAGTGCAGTTATTTTTTAAAAGGGGATAATATGACATCAATGCATTATTGTAGAAGTAATGTAACTATGACAGAGGGCCGTTTTGTGGTTGTAGAATTTTCACTGAAAACATCTGTTTTAGTGTAGCACTTCTTGAATGCCCTCATTTAAATAAAATATTGCATATATTAAGTAATTTCCATGGTAGGGATTGGCTTGTTTATTCTATTCTCTTTCTTTAAACTATTGGCATGTGATTTTTTTTTTTAAGTCACTGGAGCTAGAAGTGTGAATGATTAGAGTCCTTGAGTGGGCACCAATTCTATATGTTTAGTTTTTTAAAGGAATTTTAAAACTACCACACACTTAATCACTGTTCGTCACCCAGGGAAGTTGAAAACCAGCAAGCAGTAAGAAAAGACAATAGAGAGAGTGAGAGGCCTTTTTAGCTTGAAGGACAAGGCTGGGGAGAGGCTATTTCTGGATCAGATCTCGCCAGTGTAACTGTTATAATCGTTGAAATGAAAATTATCAGGATGTATATAGCTAAGTCCCAGGAGGGGGTGGGGATATGTTTAAATTATTTGAGAAAAATGTTAAGGCTTTTTGTACCACGGTGTTACCTTAGCTTTTGTGAAAATTCATTGATGTGTCTGGGACCTCCAATATTCAATTAAAGTTAATTGACTTCCATTCAGATCTGGACTCAGAATTTGAAAATCTTTAATGTCAGAAAGAACACTCTAGAATGACTTGGGTAACAGGCTGGTGTTATTAAATGAAAAATATTTGTGTGGGGCTGTGTACATTGCATCCTACAAGGAGTGAAATTTTCTAGTTCACATTTCAGAACACTGGAGTGATTGCCTTAGCTAATGTTTAAATTAGGTAGCTAGAGTTAGACACTTTGATTCTGATTTATTATTTAAAATTGAAAAAAGATGACTGGATGAGAAGCATTTTTTCATCTTTTCTTGGAGCAGAGGGCGAAAGAGGATGTGTTGCAGAAGGAAGTGAGAGTGAAGATTCTCAAGGACAACATCAAGTTATTAGCTGCAAAAGCGCCCTCTGGTGGCCAGGAACTGACGTCTGAGCTGAACGTTGTGCTGGAGAATTATCAACTTCTCTGTAACAGAATTCGAGGAAAGTGCCACACACTAGAGGTACGGTCTCCTTTTGAGGGATGCATGCTTCGAGACTCAAAATCTGTTGTGTTCTCTCCAGCCAGCATGTTTTAATGGAGCAAAGAGAACGTTAAAGATAAAACTAAACAATTTCCCTTCTAGTGGTGGGGAACTCCTTTAAAAAAAATCATACTGGATCATAAAGGACAGGAATTCTTGGATAAGAGGTTGGTAAAAAGGAAAAGAAGGATTAATTTTTTTTCCCAAAGGAAAGACTAGAATCTGCCCCCAACTAATGGAAGCTCCTTGAACAAGTCACTTATCATCCTTAGGCTTTGCTAGATTTTCATGCGACCAGTGATCTGTAGGCCGTTTAGTCCTACAATTCCAGAACTGCCAACCCCTTCCTAGCTTTGAACTGAGGTATTTTTATTTAGATTGCAATCTAAAATTAGAGTTACATGAAAGAAGAAGAACGTCAATATACTGGGACTTTACATATAATCTCTCTATCCCTGTTGGCCCTTAGCTTTAGGACATAGATGATTCTGAGGTTATTCTTGGTTTGTTTTGAAATGAAATGATAGCTTGTTTGTTTTTATGTAAGCATCATTTATCACATCTTAGTGGAAAGATTTCAGAGTCATTTTAATTTATAGTAAATTCTCATTTCTTTAAAAAAGGTGATTGAGGCCAGTCACAAAACTGGTAAAAAATTTCACAACTGCAATATTCAAAAAACATTAACACATTACTCACTTGTTTTGGAATCTATTTTGTGCTAGATAAATATAATTGAGGTTAATGAATGAGGAGGCTGCCATTAATACAGACCTTCGTTCTTTCATAGTGATGTACTACTATAAAAGCAACATAGTCAACCAAAATTACTCATTTATAATTTTAATAAATGATCTTGGAATTGAATTTCACTAAAATCTTACCCATTTTTTTCTCCCTGGCATAACCATCCTTGGTATTGTTTTTCCTCTTCATTTATAGTGGTAACTCAATATATTTAAATAATGAATGGGGTTTCTAGATTAATCCAGTCCAACGATAGGTCTCTGTATATTCTGTGTCATTCATTCAAGCCGTCTTAGGACTGAAATATGGTAATGTTTAGAATGAGGAGCATTTGGAACTACTTTGACAATTGCTATTGGAATTTGTAGTGATATTGGAGAGAATTTTTTTAAGAACAAGAGTAGTGTAATAAAACAATGAAAAAGGGGAGAGAAAATGCTGTTAAAATTATATCACAGTTTACCAAGGGACCTTGGGGTGGGGGGAAGCAGCTCACATTTCTAAATTAGCAGAAGACTGAACTTTATCACTTTGATTCTAAATTTCGTTCAAGTACTTTTAAACTCTAACATCTCAAATGGCTCGAAGAGTATACAGTATGCTACAGTACTTTTTCTATCCATCCATTCTGCTACAGAGCTCCTGCTTGGTATTCCTCCCTTGAGGTAACCATATCCAGAAGTTACTGTATGTCCTTCCGTTTGTGTTTTTATATTTTTACTATATGTAAAAGATACTGTATGCTTCCATTATCTTTTGACAGTTAACAAAGCAATACCATCGTTGCATTCCAAAAGAACTTTGTGGTGGTTTAAACAAACAGCAAAAACAGTCGGTTCTTTCTCATGCGTCTGTTGGTTGGGCTCAGCTGAGGGCTTCTCCGGCACCGTGTGGTAGAGCTGTCGGCCACTCATGTGGCTGCATCCACGGGGAGCGCCGTTGGGCCACGAGCGATAGATAGCCTCTCATCCTCGATGGCTCTCTCCTTGGCTTCTCATCTTTTTTTTCCTGTATAGTGTTGCCTTAGTAGAGGGAGAAAGCAGAAGTTGCTCGTTGTGTCTTTAAAAGGAATTTTTAAAATTGTGTTTTTGAAAATTTACACAGAAAATTAGGCTCACAGTTAACAAATTACTTAAGAAATTCCTCGGTGACATTAGTTACGTTTTCCACAAGGTGTCCACATTCTCTTGGATTCTCAGTCTACTTTCTGCCTGTAAAGATTTGGGGGTTTGGAAACCACTCTCTTTTCCCTTTTAATCTGAGCTAGCTCAGCAAACTTTGGCCCCAACCACACTTGGTCAGCTTGGGTTGGTTTACCTGTGAACTAAGATCGGTTTTCCTATTTGTAAAGGGTTTAGACACACACACGACTTTCTGAGGGATGCTGAGTGTCACTGATCAAACCTTAAAACATTTATTTTCTGGCCCGTGGAAGAAGCAGCTGCCGACTTTGGTCTGAGAAGCGTGCCTCACGGGGAGCACAGGCTGTACTGAATCCCTTCGTTCAAAGACCTCTCTGCCATCGAGTCGATTCCAGCTCATAGCGACCCCACAGGACAGGGTAGAACGCCCCCGTGGGTTTCCGAGACTGCATCTCTGTATGGGAGTAGACAGCCTCTTCTTTCTCCTGTGCAGTGGCTGGTGGTTCCTGGACATTGCACTGACTCTGTGGCTTAGGCATTGGGCTGCTAACCAAAGGTCAGTGGTTCAAGCCTACCAGCCAGTCCAACGGAAAAAGATGAGACTATCGGCTCCCATGAAGATTTACAGTCTGGGAAACCCTGTAGAGCATCTCGTTGAGTCCGAATTGGCTTGATCACCGTGGGTTTTATTTCATGTATGAAATGGTTAAAACATATTGCAAGTAAGAATCAGCTTTACCTTCCTATACTTGTTAGTTTTTAGAAAATAAACTGATAAAAAAAACCCCAAAAAACTCCTACCATTTACATAGTTCAATTTTGACATTTAAGTCAGTTTCTCTGGCTGTATTTTAGCATGCCGTGTGAAGTAGCCTCCTTGCCCTCCCTCCACCTCCTGCAGTTGGGCTAACACGATTTACTGCATAATTCCATTTGGTTTCATTTCTCTGAAGCCCTCAGTGTGGAGGTTTCTAAATCCCCACATGCCCTCACATCTAAATGAAATGATTCGTGATGTGAGAGAGAGCGTGGCGCCAGCATGGCAGGCGTTTCATTTACGTTTTGTTCTTCACCCACTTCAGGAGGTGTGGTCGTGCTGGATTGAATTGCTCCAGTATCTGGACCTGGAAACCGCCTGGTTGACCACGTTGGAAGAGCGGATGAAGGACGCCGCAGCTCTGCCCGAGAATGCCGAGGCAGTCAATGAAGCCCTGGAGGTCAGGGACCCAGTTCTTGGCGGTGCTTCTTGTTGCAGGGAGGCCACGTTTGTAAGAAACAGGGACCCCAGTGCTTGTCGTGGACAAGCATGTGTGCTTCCCGAGTGGTTTTCCGCACGACGTGCTTATTCTTCTGTAGCCCGCAGCCTTATGCCATTGTGGACCTTTAGGCGGTTGATGGGCTTACTAAGTCAGCTGCCTGACCAGGAGCACATCTTAGACATGCTAAGCACTCGTGTGATTCTCCAGTATGTTACCCCTCCCTGGGGACCACTCTGTCTTATGTGATTAGCAAGTTATTTTTACTGATTAAACGTCGGTGACTGTGTGTTCTCTGGCCTCTGGCCTGGTATGTCCCCAGTGTGAGGAGAGACAGTATTTGAGTCAGCCTACGAGCTCTCAGGGTGAAGAACCGTGCTTCATTTGGCTTTGTTCCTAAGTTGCCAGCTCACGATAACTTAGCAACTGCATCTGACATGACTTGAAATGCCAACAGGGTAGATTTGTTGAAAAAGGAAAATCACAAATGAAAAGGAGGGAGTTGGTAGCTCTGCCCTGAAAAACACAGTGGATTGTGGTGGTGACTGAGTGAGTGACTGGTTTGAAGGTCAGTAATACGAAGGCTTGGTGGTGTCGATGGGTAAGGAGAGAGGGAGGAGGCAAGTTTGCTTCTGTAAAGATTTACAAAGCCTTTCCCTGAAGAGCAGCGGTTCTCAACCTTCCTAATGCCGCGGCCCCTTAATACAGTTCCTCATGTTGTGGTGACCCCCCCAACCATAAAATTATTTTCGTTGCCACTTTATAACTGTTGTTTTGCTACTGTTATGAATTGGGCGATCTCTGTGACAGGGTCATTCGACCCCCAAAGCGGTCGCGACCCACAGGTTGAGAACCGCTGCTGTAGCGTGTCCCTCTGAGTCAGAATTGACTCAGTGGCAGTGGATTTGTCTTTTCGTTTGGTTTTGTTTGAATAAGTCACATGGGAGCATCTGGGTGGTGTAAATGGCACACACTCCTAACCACAAGGCCAGGGAAGAAAGGCCTGGCAACCTATGTCCAGGCGTTAATTAATTAATTAACCACTGAAAACCACAGGGTGCATATTTGGAGCCCCGAGACACATGGGGTCACCATGAGGCAGGACTTAACAAAGCCCATCCCAAACTCAATGCCATTGAGTCAGTTGTAGCTCAGCGTGACCCTAGGGGACAGGGTAGAACTGCCCTGTGGGTTTCTGAGACTGGCAGTCTTTATGGGAGTAGAATGCCTCATCGTTCTCCTGCAGAGGGACTGGTGGCTTTGAACTGCTGATCTTGAGGTTAGCAACGCAATATGTAACCATGGCACCACCAAGGCTCCTGGCAAGTCAGAGATGGTTTCTAAATTCCAGGAGCAAGATGCAAGCTGAAAGATCCACACTGGGTTCTGAATAACTAGAGTGATAAGTTGAGAGAATGAAGTTATAAAAAGCTTATACTTTAAAATAAATGAAGTTGCCCTTCCCAAATATGAGACCTAGTAGTTACACATTCCTAGAAATAAACCAGAGAAAAATGTAAAACCAGCTCTAAAATAGGATTTTAAACACTTGGGTGTGTTTCTTCCTATTTATTCAATTTTCAAATGTTTGTGCCCTGGAGACGGTCCATGAGAGCAAATGGATCAGAGTTTGGTTTCACAAAGAAGTGTGTTGAGCATTTTTTCCATCTCAGTACTGTCTCTGCATGTAGGCAAGTTACTTGTAACTCTTGAGCTTTACGATCTCCGTCTATAAAATGGGGACAATCTTTAGCTCCCCTTAGTTAATTAGATTTATGTGCATACAAAATAAGAATATAGTACCTCACTCCACGTATACTGTAGAAAAATTAGTACCTATTTTTAATATTATAATGAATAACAATTGAGATAATTTTGTTTGCATACTGTCATATTCTGCTTTTAAAATTTGTATCAGGTCATGCGCATTTTTTCATGTAATTAGTAATTTATAAGCCTTGAAATTTATATCATTATATATAAGTTGTACATTCATGAACTTGAATATTTTCATGAATTAATCATGTGCCTATTTTCTGGTCGCCTTCCTTTGGTAAATTTAGAAAAAAAGGAAAGGATCTTTAAACAAATTATTTGAAATGAACTTGTGTGTCATTAAAGGCTCCAAGGCCACTTCAGTTTTACTTTTCTTCCTCTTTTAACCCCGACCAGCATTAGATCTGAGGAGGAAGGGATCTGGATGGCTTTGTTTTTTGGGGGGGTGGTGGTGCATGAAACAATTACTATTGTATTTATTCTTAAATTTATATGTATTATTTTCAAGGAAAATGCTTGCTTAGAAGAACATAGGTACTTTTAGGGTCATCGAGACTTTTCTTTTGCCACAGAGATGCATGATTGTTTCCTTCCCCTCCTCGCAGTCTCTGGAATCCGTTTTGCGCCATCCGGCGGACAACCGCACCCAGATTCGGGAACTTGGCCAGACTCTGATCGATGGAGGGATTCTTGATGACATAATCAGCGAGAAGCTGGAAGTGTTCAATAGCCGATATGAAGAACTGAGCCACTTGGTGAGAAGCAGCGCCTGCATGAGTGTTGAGTGGGTGTCCACGGCACGGAGCTGACCCCAGGAGAGGGTGGAAGTTGGGCAGCGCGCATCAGTGGCAGCAGTGAAGGACTGGGTGGGGAAGAATTGATATAATATTTGTGAGGTAGGCAGAGCTTGATGGTCAAACATAGAATCTATCTTGAGATGGTTCTACTCGCAAACTACTTAATTCCTATTAAGTCGTTTAATATGATCCTGAAAAAAAATTCTATGAAGGATTGTTAATGCTGTATGCAATAATAATACACTTGCATATACAAATGCTTTGTTTTATACAACAAATGATATGTAATATAATAATAATTGTTATATGCCTGTATATAATAAGGATGACTCACACTTCCCTAGTCAATAGTAGGGCCATCAGTTTGATATGGGCTGTTAGAGAGTGTCACAATTTCGCAGCCGCATATCCAGGATGGACCATCACATACATGTTTGGGATAGAAATTAGAGAAAGGAGGCCTTTCCGTTTTATGACAACTGGGGAGATTTTAGAAAATTTCTAACACATTTAAAACAATTACCATTGATGTTTAGAGCCTGAGTTGCGGCAAGCTAAATCCAATCTGCAGTGAATACCGGTTAACACACATATGTATCCATAGAACTTGCTACAAACAACAAGAAAAGAGATTTAGAGATGTGCTATTGAAAGGTTTCCCCTTCCCCCTTTCTAATTTTAATGTTAGGTTTTTCCCGTTGTTGAGAATGTTGTGGTGTGAGGCGGCCTGGGCCCCGTTTCATTTTTCTCATGGAGAAATCTGATTTCCCAGCAGCATTTATTGAAGCCACTCTTCTTTCTCCATCTTCTTTCCCCATCGGCTGTCAAAAATCCTCTTGACCGTAGGTGCCGGTAGATAGGCATTCTTCTATTGTCTTATGTTCTTGTTAATAGAGTTACCTACCTACATAGATAAACATTCTGACCCTCTGTTTGCTATGTGCTGTAAGACATCTGTACATCTTTCCATTTTGTCATTGCATATAGAAAAAGTAAGGATTAGTAGCTTGTTCACTGCTAGAGCCATAAGATACTAGAAGGATATTTTCACCGTCGCCCTAGCTCGTTATGATTTATTTATAACTGAAGCCTGTCTTCCACTGGCTTCCATCTTTGATCATGTTTCTTTTCACGGGGCCCTGAGCCTGAGGGCGTCCTTGTATTCAGCTATTTCTATTTGTGCTGAGAGACTAATGATGAGATTTCTCCCCTGCGTAGGCAGAGAGCAAGCAGATCTCCTTGGAAAAGCAGCTGCACGTCCTGCGGGAAACTGACCACATGCTTCAAGTCCTGCAGGAGAGCTTAGCCGAGCTGGATAAGCAGCTCACGACATACTTGACCGATAGGATAGACGCCTTCCAAGTGCCGCAGGAAGCACAGGTACTGTGAGGGCTTTGAGGG